CTATAAACGTGTCACAAAGAACGCCACCGGGTTGGGATTCAATGAGTTCGGAGAGCTAAACATGAGCAATGACTGGTGGGATCAACTGATTAAGGTAATCTTTCGTAATATAGTGAACAATGACCAATATTTTTAGGCACTTGCAACCATGTTTCTATTCATAATCGATATTTTTTTTTATGTTGCAGGCTTGTCCCGATGCCTCAAAAGTTCGTCAATATCCACTACGTGATATTCCACTCCTTGATAATTTATACAGTAAAGTTACAATATCGGTAAGTGAAGGATGGCAACACCAGGACGGACCGAGTCAATTGCCTCAAGATACAGAACTTGAAGAAGAAGAAGAACTTGAAGAGATACTATCACCCATCCGTAGACCTGAAGACAANCCGAAGACACACCAAACACATGTCTNTGGNAAGTCTAAGGAGAAANCAGCCAAACCAAGATCTTCGCGGAAAAGACCTAACTTGGATCATTGGGATCGTATCACAAGTACCCTAGAAAATCAANAGAGGTTTTGGTCAGCGGGTCGGAAAACATTTGACTCTTTTAACCCATTTAGTAGTGCCATATGCACTGAAGAGTTGCTAAAAATGTCTACTCTAGACCATGATGGCGAGTTGTATTGGACGGCTCTTGAGTACCTGGCTGGAGANGAGAATAGTCGNCAGATTTTCTTAACTTTGCCGAATGANGAGCAAAAGATTAAGTATCTAGAAAGAGTCACTGGAAAGAAGAACTAGATAATTTTAGTTTATGATNATAGATTTAAGTTAGNAGTTTTTTTGTTTGAACTCTTTTTCGTTTGTTTTATGGCATTCATTGAACTCAAGTTTTGCTTTACTAGATTTATAAATTATTACATTATGAATTACTAATCTTCTTTTAAAATNTTTGCTTTTAGACGTGAGTGCATATTGACTTTATGCTCATTGACGTGAGATCNAATTTGTTTGACTATTTGTTATTCATGTACTACTTTTCATATATCTAATACATTTTATATTTTCTTACAGGAGGTAGCAATGGCTTGTAATCAAAATATGGTTGCTGTTGTCCGCTTAATGGTCGAAAGTGAACAACAAAATCCATATTG